CGATGGACATCAACATCTCGCGCCCGGACAACGCCACCATCCTGATGCTGAAAAACCCAGCCATCGCCGTGGTCCTCCCCGTGGTCTACTCGTTCGTGGCCTTGGTCAGCATCCCCGGCAACTTATTCTCGCTGTGGGTACTGTGCCGGGACATCGGCCCCAAATCCCCGTCCGTCATCTTCATGATCAACCTGAGCGTCACGGACCTGGCGCTGGCGAGCGCGCTCCCGTTCCAGATCTATTACCACTGCAACCGGCACCACTGGGTGTTCGGGCCGCGCCTGTGCACGGTGGTCACGCTGGTCTTCTACGCCAACATGTATTCGTCCATCCTCACCATGACCTGCATCAGCGTGGACCGCTTCCTGGGCGTGGTGTACCCGCTGGCGTCCGCGCGCTGGCGGCGGCGCCGGTACGCGGTGGCCACGTGCGCGGGGGATGTGGTGCCTCCTGCTCGCCGCGCTCTCGCCGCTGGCGCGCACCGACCTCACCTACAAGGTGGAGGAGCTGGGCATCGTCACGTGCTTCGACGTGCTCAAGTCCACCATGCTCCCCAGCGTGGCCATGTGGGCCATCTTCCTCTTCACCCTCTTCGTCGTCCTGTTCCTGGTCCCGTTCGTGGTCACCGTGGCCTGCTACACGGCCACCATCCTGCGCCTGTTGCGCACGCCCGATACGCACGGCCAGGAGGGCCAGCGCCGGCGCGCGGTCAGCCTGGCCGCCGTGGTGCTGCTCGCCTTCGTCACCTGCTTCGCGCCCAACAACTTTGTGCTCCTGGCCCACATGGTGAGCCGGCTCTTTTTGGGCACCAGCTACTACCACGTCTACAAGCTGACGCTCTGCCTCAGCTGCCTCAACAACTGCCTGGACCCCTTCGTGTACTATTTCGCCTCGCGCGAGTTCCAGCTCCGGCTCCGGCGCTATGTCGGGTCCTCCTGCTCCTCGTCCCCGGGGCCGCCCGCGTCCCCCGGCGCCTTGGACACGCGCCGCGAGAGCGTCTTCTCCGGCCGGACGCTGTCGGCGCCGTCCGTGTCCAGCTGCCACGGGGACGGGCTGGAGGCGGCGGCCGCGCGGCCCTTCCTGCAGAGGCAGGAGAGCGTGTTCTGAGCCGGGGGGGATTTGGGGGTGCGGGGTGCGGGGAGACGGGGTGCCTGCGGGGCAACCCGCTTTGGAGACGGCCCCGCCCGCTCGCGACTAGGCGGGGAGGTGGCGCGTGTGGGAGCCGCGCGCCCCAGCTGCGCGTTTGGAGCAACGCCTCTTGCTGCAAAGCTGGGCGCATCCAGGACCCCGGGGGTTGGAGCCACGCCCCCCACGCATTGAAGCCAAGCCCCGCGCGCTTCGGGAACCTGGACTCCCGCCCGTTGGAGCCACGCCCCCACGCGTCAGAATTCACGCTTCCTGTTGCACATCTGGACCTTTGCTGACCCCTGCGCCTGGGAACCTCACCTCTTGCTCCAAATCGCGTCCCTTCCTGGACCCCTGCGCGCCGGAACGGCGCCTCCTGCCAGTCGGAACCAGGCCTCCTGCTCCAAATCAGCTCCCTTCCTGGACCCCTGCCCATCGGAACCGCGCCTCCTGCCAGTCCGAACCGCGCCTCCTGCTCCCAAATCAGGGCGCTTCCCAAACCCCTGCCCCAGGTTACGGTGAAGGCACCCCATACTGTCTCTGAAGCCGGTCCCGACTCCCAGCGTCCACGCACCAGCGCTGGCCCACGACAGAACCCAGGGACTGACAGGCACGGGGACGCACGGTGCTGGGTTGGGGGTCCTTGGACATGAGTTCCGCCCTGGAGCCTGCAAACGGAGAGCTAAGACGGGCCTTTGGTGGCGGGATCTGGGCGCACAGGGAGGGGCGCGATGGGGGGCAGGGTGTCTCCGGGGCAGGCGGCCTCGCCCCTGGAAATCCAAGCTGAGGATGGAGATCGCATCCTGCTCGCGGCTCTCATGGCTAAGGAAGGAAGCAGACACAACGGCACTGGGGGTGAAGACTGTCCCCCCAAATCCACGTCCACCCAGGACCTCAGTGCCGGGGTCCAGCCCCGGGCAGTCCAGGGGTTCCCAAAAGTGTGGACGGAGTCGGAGAAGAATGAAGGACCTAGCACCTCGTTCAGTCCATCAGCACATCCATTATTCTCCTGTTACATCTGTATTTGTACCATGTGATCCCATAAGCACACCTCTATAGTAACATCATCATCTGTTTGTGGTCCGCCCCTGACCTCCTACAGTTCCTTGTTTAATGTTTATCATTTCTTATCTGACCTTTTGCTAAAAATCTGATCTCTATCTAGATCTGCAGAACTTCATCTTGTCTAGGTTGGGTCTCTGTGCGTTCCCTTCTAAGGGCTGCTTTGCTGTCTCTGTTGCAAGGTCATTATGCTATCGTTCTACTGTTAAGCTGCCCCATATAATAAAAGCCCAGTGACCCAACGACAGAACAACCGGTCGACCGGTCGCGATGACATCAGTTGGCGTTTTCAGAAGAAAGCCCTTTTAAACATTAAGAATTCCTGTTTATATAGCTCAGAATTGGTGTTTAAAGCCTTTAAATGAGAAGGATCCTGTTTATATTCACAATCGAGGCTGAATTGGTTGGCGTTTTTTGGATAAAACAGTTTAAATCCTGAAGATGCATGTATATACTACTAAGAAAGCTGTCTAATTGTGGTGAAACTCTTAAAATACACAATGATAGTCCCAGGAAATGATTAGAAACGTGTAAGAAACACTTGAAATACACGTCGATAGAGCCGTACTATCTCTATGGATGTGTTCAATCACCGAGATTACAGGTAGAAAGCTGTGAAATGATGAGAATACTCATAATATTTGCAATTCCGGCGACATTGGGAAATTGTAAATATTATCAGTATTTGCTACACTCAAGGCAGGAGCTGCACCCCGGGTACCAGTGCCCATCCACAGTGGGCGGATCCCCACAGGCCATGACCCCCCCCACCCCAGTGCACGAATCTGTGCACCAGGCCTCAACTAAGGAAATAATTGAAGGAGAATTTCCTATTCTATGACCTGAGTAAGGATTATGTTGCTTAAGTGTGATTTTTCCTGGTTATGGTGAGTAACTACCCCCCTGGCACGTAGTTAAGGGGTTTTACTGATTTATTCCCTTCCCTAGCCCCTTTCATCCCTAACTCCAGGGACACATCCCCACCTGGGGAAACGACCTTTCTCGGGGAGGTGGCCCTGGTTAGAACACATAGCGCTAAGAAAGGGGAGCAAACATATTAAGAACAGGATGCCCTAGACACCAGGTCCCTTGGAACATAGGCTGTACAGATGTTTCTTCCCTGCAGCCACTGTGTCAAGCAGCAAGGATGGAGCTGCTCCCGGCATCTCCCCCTTCCTTATTTTTTAAACGTAGCGCGTGGAAATCAGCGGCCACCTCTCGGATTGGGTTGTTTAGGACTCGGAAGAAGACTGGCAAGCAATGATAGCATTGGCATTGAAATACATAAAAATAAATGTCAAAAATATAAGTCTTTGTTTTACTGTGGCTGCAAATATCAAAAAATTTCTATAGATGACACGGCACTAGGGTTAAGTTAGGGTTTTTCAAAATGCTGGCACACGGAGCTCAAAAGGTTCGCCATCACTGTTGTAGAACATGATGAGGAATATTTAAACTCATTTTCTTGTGTAGAGATATGACTGCTTTGGATTTATTAAATGTTAAATGATTGTTATGATTAGATGAACCATCAATAAAATTTTTTTAATATTTCAGCAACAGTTGCGTGTACAGTACAGTTATGTTTTCTCGGACATTCATTTATTTCAATTAGCCGATTTAAATTAATTGGATAAAAAGCTCATTATTTAACTTCGTCTTTGTTAACAGGAATTAACATTAATTGGATGACTGCTATCGGTCCCTTTAAGGACTTTGACATAAGCCATTTAACTATTGTTTATGGAGGGAAAATATAAATCATTAACCTTTCATTGTCCTTAGTTTCAGGAAGGAATGGTTTTCTAGACTTAAGAGATTAGAAAAATAAATTTTAATGACATTGAAGGCATATTATTTTATTTTTTTAAAATATATTTTATTGATTTTTTACAGAGAGGAAGGGAGAGAGATTGAGAGTTAGAAACATCGATGAGAGAGAAACATCGACCAGCTGCCTCCTGCACACCCCCTACTGGGGATGTGCCCGCAACCAAGGCACATGCCCTTGACTGGAATCGAACCCGGGACCCTTCAGTCTGCAGGCCGACGCTCTATCCACCGAGCCAAACCGGCCACGGCTGAAGGCATATTATTTTAAATGAAACATTGCTATTAATAAATCAATTACTAGCAACGTCTCTTCCCTGCAGCGTCTGTGTCCAGCAGCAAAGATGGACCGGCTTCCGGCTCCTCAGAATGAGACCTCGTTTGGAAACTGGGTCTTTGCAGCTGGGATTGGAGGAAGGGTCCGAGATGAGGTCCTCTTGGGTCAGGGTGGCCTTTCATCCAAGGACAGGGTCCTTGTCAGACACAGAAGAGCCCCTGGTTGGTGTGGCTCAGTGGATAGAGCCCCGGCCTGCGGACTGAAGGGTCCCGGGTTCGATTCCCGGTCAAGGGCATGTACCTGGGTTGCAGGCACATCCCCAGTGGGGGGCGTGCAGGAGGCAGCTGAATCGATGTTTCTCTCTCATCGATATTTCTGACTCTCTATCCTTCTCCCTTCCTGTCTGTAAAAAAATCAATAAAATGTATTTTTTGAAAATCTCTCTCTATATAAAAGACTAGGCCACCGTTCGACCGGCAGCTACGACGCCACTGACCACCAGGGGCAGACACTTAACGCTGAACTGAACTCCCCCCATGTTACATCTGCGTGGCCCAAGGGGGACCCTAAATACGGAGAAATAGCCCAGCTGGTGCGGCTCAGTGGTTAAGCACTGACCTACGAACCAGGAGGTCAGGGTTCGATTCCCGGTCAAGGGCACACACCCGGGTTGCGGGCTCGATCCCCAGTAGGGGGCGTGCAGGAGGCAGCCGATCCACGATTCTTTCTCATCGTGGATGTTTCTCTCTCCCTTCCTCTCTGATATCAACAAACAAATATACTAAAACCCTGGCTGGTGTGGCTCAGTGGATAGAGCGTCGGCCTGCAGACTGAAGGGTCCTGGGTTCGATTCCCGGTCAAGGGCACATGCCCCGGTTGTGGGCTCCATCCCCAGTAGGGGGCGTGCAGGAGGCAGCCGGTCCATGATTCTCTCTCCTCATGGATGTTTCTCTCTCTCTCTCTCCCTTCCTCTCAGAAATCAAACCTATATATATAAAAGCCCTCCTATGCACAGTGTCCCCTTGGGAAATTGACCAGCCAGGCATTCGACCGCTTTCTTTGTTGGATGCGGGCCACCAGGGGGCGGGACCTCGTTGCAGGAAGGCCCTGGCAGGCAGAGGGGAGGGGCGACGGCTTTTAATCCGGGCAGGAAATTCGGGGCTGGGTCTTTTGGGTACAAACAAATATTTTTAAAAAATGGTTTTATTGATTTTTTTCCATTTTCTCAGAAGGAGAAGGGCAAAGGGGAACCGATTAATTTAAAAAATCCGAGGAAAAAAAAAAAAAAAAAATCAGGGACTGTT